CATGGATATTTACCACTGGTTATGTGATTTATTTTATGAGTGTAAGCCCTCAACTCGAGTGAGTGGCGGCAGGAATATGGAAGAAGTAAGGGAGAACAGCCCATAATGCACTCCTGGGGTAAAATGCCCACTTATAGAAAAACAGCGATAACTTTTCCTCAGATGCATTTTCCGGGTAACGGTTTGTGATTGTTTTCAACTGGAGGTTTAACAAATAATTCTTGATCATAAAATCATGTATTGACCTACCTTAAAAAAATTACATTTTGTGCAAAACAGGACACAGTTGTTAAAATCATCGACTGTAAATTAAGCTTTTATCATCATGTATCACAAAAAAAAAAATTAAAAAATTTACGTTTCGTATATTTTTTAGATATTTTACTTGATGAATCACAGTTTAACATTCTATTGAGATTTTGAGACCTTATTTCTGATGTAACATAAAGAAATAATCATTTGAAATACCGCATCCCTTTTCATTATCTACTTGCAGGGGTTATGGTTTGTTTACCATGGGGTGCATTTTACCCCAATGTTGTGGTGCGTTTTGGCCATTGTTGTCGTGCGTCTTGTCCCAATGTTGTGGTGCATATTGCATCATGAATCAGGCGTTTTGCCCCGCTATCATTTTGGAAGCAATTTAAAAAATACCTTAAACTCATGGACAAGGTTGCAAAGACTCATTACAGCTAAAACAATGTTTTTCTAAATTATAAAATAACTAGATGCTATGATCAAATTTTGAATTGGTAGGATACAAGAAGAGGTTGCAAAGAATGTGTTTGACATATTAAACCTGTTTATTTCACTTCATGAGAGTCACAATCAGCGATTTTTCACAAACTCACTCACTTACTCACTCACTCACTCAGCGATCAGCAAATCGCTGATTGTAACTCATAGAAAGCAAAATTTACAGGTTTTATGTTTCCAACGCATACTTTGTAACCTCTTCTTGTAAGTTACAAGTAAAACATGCCATCATACCATCTTTTGGTTTTATTATTCCGAAAAACATTATTTTAGCTGAAATGAGTCTTTGCAACCTTGGTCATGGAAAATCATCGTTTTGTAGTTCTAAATCACTTGATCTTTGTAGAAAACATGGTAATGAACCAAACGCCATTACTTTCTTCTTGATTTTAGCTTCCATTCACCAGCCATTGACGATTTTGCTTAAACGGTGCGTTTTGCACCATCCTACCCTAAACAAACACTCCTCGAGAGAGAGGGATAGTGAACTTCAGCGAGAGGATGATTTGTCGTGAGGCTAGGCGAGTAAGAAAGGTGACACAGTCGGAAGAAGTGGTAGTTTTTTTTCTAAAATGAACCGCCCATTTTGTTCTGGCAAGTTTTGCTATAAGAAATTCACATCAAATATTGATTAATTGCGTAGGAAATCAGTTTGGCACGGCATTTGTGACCAGCATACATCTTCTGGTCGTATGAAACAGGTCAAAAACTGTCCAAATCCGCAGATAAAAATTTTTGTTTTGAATATCTGTATAGCAAAATAGTGAACTTTTCGTCAAAATTAACGGCAAAGAACTCACCAACACTGGGAGACCGTGAGTTCCTGCCCACCTGTCATTTCCCATCTCGGTCGTGAGGTGCGCTTTTCGAGACTCCGGATGAATTTTTTGTTCGACGCAAGAAGCTCAGAGTTCACCCATAGTGAGAGTAAGAGCGTGTGATAGAAAACATGAACATGAATGGCAGCAAACCTCACTCTCATTTTATCCCCCTTTGCTCACAAGCTCTGAAGCTCAGTGGAATGATTTGGGAGTAGGTATTCTACTCCTCAGAAAAATGCTACGCTCGGCTCATTTCAAACTCGCGAACGAGGCTCCATCAAGCCTGCCCAAATCCTTGGAAATTATGTAAGTCTTAAGATCTTGAAAAATTATCACTGCCTGGTTTTCTTTAAGCAAAATACTGTTTTAAGTCCGAGAACTCATGTTTGTTCCCTGGATTTGAATTTGTTTCAATTGGAAGCTTTCTTTAATATTTTATAAGGTTAATTTTTCAACTTTACAACGCTTCACACTTAGAAAAAATCATGTACATTTAGGTGCTTTGAGACTGACATATACTAGCGTCAATTTTGACATAAAATTAAGTCATAACAGACGCGAAATTCAACTATGTCAAACGTACTTTTCGTCGAGCAACGAACTTTTCAGTCTCGGAGCACTTAATATTACATGAAATGTTTGTTTACGTCTCACCTTTTATGTCAAAGATGGATTCCATTACGTGTAAAATTAATTATTTCTAAGTGTGTTGTTAATGACTCTTTAACCCTGATCTTATAACTAGATCATAAAGTCATAAATTTTGTTGGGAAATTTTCAGTTCTTTCCTATGTATAAGGTTTAATTATGAATCATTTAATTCTTTAAATTTATCGTACCTCTTAACGGAATCCCTTTATAAAGAGCTTTGAGTGGGTTGGTTTATTTCCTTTAAATTTCGTTATAATTGCCTATCTTTTGACAAATACGCGTGTTGAGTACTTGGCACTGATGAAGTCTGCAAGTAGTAGATGAAATACGCGTATATGTCAAATGATAAGCAATTATAACGGAATTTAAAGGAAATAAACCAACCCACTCAAAGCTCTTCATTTAATTATGAGTTATATTTTGATGTTGAAGAACCAGTGAGATGATTTATTGAGCTTTACTCCGTTTAATTTTATGCAGCATCATTCAGTGAGACGATTATTGTGACTTAGGTTTGGGTGAGGTGCTTAATTAAAATAAATAATCTGCTAAATATTTGTTTCTAACTGATTGATGCAGTGTTATAACAAAAACATTTATTAACTGCTTTGTGATGGTTCATGATTGGAAACAAATATTTATTTATAAGCCAAACACATAACAACTGTAAGAGCTTAACACTTTTACATCCCATTCCATTTGTGTGACTTTGCGAACAGGACAATTTTCCAAACCCTTAATACCTCGTTAGTACAAGCTACTGGTGTAGAGCCATATGGTTGTTCTCTACAACCTGCATCAACTGAAATGGCTTTCATCTGCTCGAATGTATAACATGGAACCGGAAATCGCATACACAACAGGGTTTATCAACCTATCTGGCTTTGATTAAGTTAACAATGAAAAACAAACTATTGTTCTTCAAAGTTTCATTTTATATTTTTTTTCATCCTTTTTGTAATATTAAACCTGTTCTCAACTCACACTCACATACGCACTTCCACTTTATTTGATCAGGCTCAACCGAATGAACTTTACAGAGCCGAGTTTTTTTGTCCATTATACAATGCAATAGGTATACCTCGATATAACGTAACTGTCATTTTTGACTTCCATCGCCGATTTCTTGCAATCGATCATTCAATCAAGCAAAAGAATAATAACATCGGACAGATGAAACAATCCCCCAACTATTGGTAAAAGTGATTTATATGATTTAATTGTCAATTTAGAGATATCGATCATGGAAGCCAAAAGTGACAGTTACTTTATATCGAGATATTCCTGTACATAAAATAAATCTTAAGACTATAGTCAAGAAGTTCACTACGAAAAGCACCTTATCCTCCGGAAGAGATTTTTTCCTAACATAGTTTGCACATCAATTGTGATTTTTCCTTTGACTCTCCCTTGGACAAAGGAAGTTGAATTGAACATTCATGTTGTAGCCGTACTTCTTAGGTACTTTTCAATTTCTCTTGAACAATAGACGATATTTAATCCTTTGTTAGCAATTCAAAATCAGTATATAAGAGTAAGCAACATCCATTGGACAAACGTGCATCAACAGTTGCAAACATTTTCAGTTATACGAAAATTTATTGGAATGTCCTGCAGAGACAGGCTTTATATTTAAAATTCTGATTGCATTTTAATCCAAAAATGATGCTGTTTAGAGCATAATATTAATTTGGAAACCTTTGGCAAATCTAGTAAACATTCGCCTTTCGCATCGCTCTCTACTCTACATTATTTTTTCTTCAATTTCTTATTTGGATCATGACCTACAGTTTGGGAAACACTGGCTCACACAATGTGCGTGGGTGTCAATGAGAAGCTGCCCACAGATTCACGGGAAATTGGGTTGGTTGCGTTCCATTCATCCGGACGCATCGTTAACAAAATTTGACAAGGGTCTCTTGAGCGAATGTCATTGCTCTGGTTCTCGAGCTTAAGGGGGGCATTATTTGTTCATCCGATGGAATACGAAAAGGCCGACTATTTGTGTTACAAATAGCTCTCCACTCTAGCAGTCGCTAGAATAGGTGGACTAATTTGCGAAAGGAAGGAATAAGAGTTAGGATAATTAAAACTTCCTACTTTCTTTGATGTGCTATGGAAATAAGCAGCGGTGTGACACACATATAGCATTACGGTGAATATACTTTACTATGGTTTTGGTGCTAGTTATACGCTCCATGATCAAATTATGGGATGAACTTATATTTTCAGTGGCATTCGAAAAAAAAAATATTTAGAGATTCACAGGTTGACCGTTGTATTTTTAGGTTGCATATTTTTTAAATGATTGAATAAGTCTTATTAAATTCTTTGGAAACAAAATGAATATCCAATAATCTGATCAGGATTTGTTTCTAATTGTAATTTATGCTTAAAGCAATTGTGCAAATATATTGTGACATTTGTAGTCAATCATGATAATACTCGAACCACTATCTAGCGGCTTGGTTGATGTTTGGTGTCGTAGGCAGAAGCATACAGGTAGTACGTATTCAAGTGTTTGAACGGAAGGTGGATACAAATTTCACACATTCTACCAGGTCGCGGTTTGTTTCTATGCTTTGCAAGCATTGAGAGCCCAGATGACTATTAGAAGCGTTGTTGTTTGCTCGTTAGTTACTACGAATGTGAATGTATGCATGAGTTGGTTTTGACTCTTTGCTCTAATTGCGCAATGACGGTATGAGGTGAATTAGACAAAAACAAACTAAAAGGCTCTACAGCACATGCCTAGGAACTGTGTATGCTTACCTCCAGAAACTGCAACACGGTTGTATCAACGACCATCAGAGGACGATGAATCAGGTGGACCACTCCATTCTTAACAGGAATATTCGCTTTGACTATTTCGGCCAGAACGGCACCGGACGCGTGTTTTGAATCCCCTATCACCGTATTCGAGCGAACATAAACTAGAAAAAGAAAAAGGGAAAAGTGTTAAAGATTGATTGGTCATAAATTACATTGATGAATGGTGAGTTAGGGATCATACTTAAATGACGTAGCATTTTTTTTTTCGATTATTTCGGCACCCTCCTCCTCCTACTCCTCGAAACATTTGATCGCTAAGTCTCGATATTTTATTACTCGACTAATTCATTTTATTGTCATCGTAGTATCTATAAGTTTATATTTTTACAACTCGATGCCTCATTTCATCAATGTCGTGTGTAGTTTTATTTTGATTTCATATCTCGATCTAATCATGATATGATTTTTCATTTTGCAATAGAGATGATAAAATCGAATCAAAGAACATGTTCCGGATGCCTAAGTAGATGTAGCTCATTTATTTCCATTAAACAAAACTGTCATGCAACACATCAAATTACATGCTTATTCAAAGAACAGAAGTTATATTGAGAAAGACCTGTGCGTCGCACAGTGGCGAGTCTCCATAGTCGGACAAAACCAAAAATGTTTTAGAATTTGGCTGAAAATCACATATTTAGTAAATGTTGGGATGCTGATTCCATTTAGACGTCGGAAATCATAAAATGTCAACTACGCCCTCTAAAGAGTGATCTTATCTTTCTGATGCCCATGAACCCATTGATTGATTATTCGTTAAGCTATATTAATTCATTATATTTTTCTTTATGTTCAGGATGCTAGTCAAATTATCCAAGACATAACAAACATAACTAAAAATAAATAAATAATCAGTTTTGCTTCATTAAAACTCAAACTAACAATTTCTGAGATGTTTATGTTTCAGTAAAAACAGGCAGAAATTATTTAAAAAAGAAATCAGATTAAGGCTAGGTAATTTTATCGTTAGTGGCCGTCCATATACTACTTGTGGAATGTATGATGGGTGATGTTTGAGTGTATATGGTCTATTGCGAGGATGTATTGTCGAAAGCCAACTGACCGACTCTTTCAGCAGATAAGAAATAAAGGGTGATACGGTCAAAATTTGGTCAAGGGAAAATGCGTGTAAATCGGTGAAATCGTTTATTTAAAAAATCAAATTAAATTTCTTTTTCAAGTTCAATTAGTATAAAATTCAGGAAAAATATTCAGTTAGGCTTCCGCTTTTCCAAATCCGAATTGCCGGGCCTTACGCTTGACCCCTGCCATCAGATTTTGTACAGCCACCTTGTCCACCTTCTTCGCCGCAGAAAGCCAGTTTGCCTTGAACTGCTGCTCGCCCTTAGCAGTTTTTTGGTCTTCTTTAGGTTCCGCTTGACAATAGCCCAGTATTTCTCAATTGGGCGGAGCTCTGGCGTGCTGGGGCGGGGGGGGGGTTGTCCTTGGGAACCACCTGCACGTTGTTGGCGGCGTACCACTCCATGGCCTTTTTACCGTAATGGCAAGATGCCAAATCCGGCCAAAACAGTACGGAACAACCGTGTTTCTTCAGGAAAGGCAGCAGACGTTTATTCAAACACTCTTTCACGTAAATTTCTTGGTTGACAGTCCCGGAAGCTATGAAAATGCTGCTTTTCAAGCCACAGGTACAGATGGCTTGCCAAACCAGATATTTCTTTGCGAACTTTGACAGTTTCATGTGCTTGAAAACACCTGCTACCTTTCCCCTTCCTTTTGCCGTATAAAACTCCTGTCCCGGAAGCTGCTTGTAGTCGGCTTTGACGTAGGTTTCGTCGTCCATTACCACGCAGTCAAACTTCGTCAGCATCGTCGTGTACAGCCTCCGGGATCGCGCTTTGGCCGTCGTATTTTGTTTATCATCGCGATTTGGAGTCACTACCTTCTTGTAAGTCGATAGTCCGGCTCGTTTTTTGGCTCTATGCACGGTTGTAGACGATACACCCAGCTTATTTGCGGCATCTCGGAGAGAGAGGTTAGGGTTTCGCTTGAAACTACCGGCAACTCTCTTTGTCGTCTCAGCGGCTTCCGGTTTTCGATTTCCCGCCGATCCAGACTTCCTGGCTGTCGACAAACGTTCCCCAAACACTTTAATTATATTTGTAACGGTTGATTTGGCAACTTTTAGCGATTTTGCCAACTTTGCGTGCGAGTAGCTCGGATTTTCGCGATGCGCGAGCAAAATTTTGATACGCTGCTCTTCTTGCTTGGACGGCATTTTGACAACTGAAGAGTGAATTCCAAAATCAAAATAGGAGCAACATTCTACACACACACACCTTCAAAATGAGGGGTGTTCAGGTTTTTTAAATGCAAAATTGAAAGAAATACGTCAAGTTGATATTGACCAAATTTTGACCGTATCACCCTTTAGTGTTGATGTCTCGGAGTCAGCTACAAAGCTATAATAATATATTTATTAGCTTATATAAACATTACTTACAACTTCGGTAACTGGATATCGGAAAACAATTGATTCCTACCGGCACCTCTTCTCTACAATATCTTCATGATGGTCCATGATTGAATTTACTCGATGCGCTTTTTCCAAAATAGAAACTTTGGTTCCATATTGTAGGTTAGGGTATTTCCGTTGATGTCGTATATAGTTTTTATCTAGTATGTTCAACATATTATACAAACATATTAAAGAACAATTTTCGTGTTTTTCGCCTGTTTGAAAAAACACTCAAACCATTACATTTGAAATGTATTTTTGATATAGCCATAACAAATTCAATGTTGTATTCTTATTGCTTATGAGGTTTTCGGATTATATACTCATTCAAAGTTTCATATTTCTTGAATTGAATTGTTTAAGTTTTACCCATTTTTTTATACATTCATCGAGCATTATCAAAGTATCCCCAAATCAAAATACGCAAAACTAAAAAAATTGTGTAAATGCTTCAATTTACGTTAATCATATTACTAATTAATTAACTCTTGGATCCTCAGTACTTGTTTTAAAAATATAAAATTTGAAAAACAGTCATTGCTGTGAAAAATATTTAGAATATACATTAAAAAACCATCAATGTTACCCCGTTTTACGGTACTCAGTATTCATTATTAGATTGAACGGTCAACAGATATTAGGGATGATCATGATTCTGAGAAGGTAGAAAGGGTAAACATTTCTTGCAAAACAAATAAACAAATTTCAACGTAGTTTGTGAACAGTCCCTAATCGAAAACCTCAGGATTATTTAGTCTATAGTGAAGATGATATGACTCTAAGTTACACAATTTTTTATACCATTGTTGGTCAGTAATGCCGGTTCTACGAAATATTAAGCATTGATTGAATTTATCAGAAATACGGAACCATATGACAGAAGTTCAGTCTATTTTTAGGGATTTGTTTGGTTTGTTTTGCGAGGTTTTTATTTGTTTTTAATCGTAATAATGTATCACCTTTCTAGCACCGCCCATCACTTTAATATGTAAGCAGCAAAAAAAAGTATCAATGAATGTTATTCATAACGATGTATTGAACAGATTGATGGTAAAAGTGGATACAATATTACACTCATTAAAATGATTTGTTGTCAAAATCTGTGTGCATCGTATAGCGTATTATTACACTACAAGTGGAAGGACCAATACGCTGCATTCAAAAAGGAATATTCAACGCATTCCTGACGTTACTGAAAATTACAATAGGATCAGATTGCGGGGTTGCTAGTGTATTATAATGCTTTTTTGAAAATTCACGAGCTCTTGATTGTTGGGAATACCTTTGAATATTTGACGTGGACAAAAGAGTGAACAAAAGAGTGAACAAAGAGGTGAACGCCGAAGCTTTTTCATATTCAAATCGCTGTGAAGCAACTTAAAAGTGTTGAGGGAATTTATATCTGTAACTGTAACCAGTTCGTTTTTGTTTGCTAATCTGGTTGAATGTTATACTTAATTATCTTAAAGATAAATCTTCCGGCTCAAATCTTTGTAGGGGTAAGCGGTGGGACCATCATCATCACCATCAATAACTTTTATTTCTGTAATCGTCAGATTAGTATATGGGATGTCTTCCGAAGAAACAATGAAAGGTGATTTGTTGCGTTGCCTCCTTATTTCAAGAGCTGCCATCTACTAAATTGACCTGAATACGAACTGGTACCACTGATAAGTTCAAAATGTGCTGACTTGCTTGACGGATCAGTGGCGCCACCATGACAAATGCGAGCACATTCCTATCTGAAACCTTATGTGCGAAGAATGTGATTGTGAGTGTTATGTCTGTTTGTCTGTGCTATCTCCATTAGTATTATAAATCTGCCAGCAACTTCACTTATGGCTAACTTCGCTAACAAACCTGCAAACTCCTGTGAAACTTAAGAGAGGTCGTAGAGTTCTCTGCATGTCTCTAGGCATTAAATATCAGTATTTTTCAAGCCTTGTTCAGTCTTCTAGAACTAATTTAAAAAAAAAAAATCATGGAAGACCGCTTCATATATTATAATTGTTACGGAACAGCTTTACCTTGCTGCTGACAAATAGGATTTAAATATTTATATTGTCATTATAAGTCTTAAAATTAACTTTGCATTTTGGGTTTCGTACCACGTATGATCATTAACTTGAAGCACGTCAAATTACAGTTGAATAATAGCAACCGGAAGAGTATTATACAGCAATGCAAACACAAATGGTGACAGTAAGACATTCCTCTCAATTTAAAGAGTTCCTGGTCATTTGGTCAAATGCCGTTTGGCCGAATGCCTTGCCCAAGCAGGAACGACTATCTCGATACCTTAAATTGGTATGGCTGAGCCTGACATAAGAGATAAAATACCAAAAAATGTTCCCATAATTGACGCATTTCGCGCCAAATCGAATCGAAGCTGGCAACGATCTCTCAGATTTCAATGAAATTTTCTGGATGTGTAGACTTTGACTAAATAAGCCCTTTTGCATACTCAGTTTTTCCAAAATTTATCTAGACTAACATTTGAGAAGAGACAAAGTTTTTCAGCCAATTTCTTCAAACAAAAAAAAATGGAAAAATGACAACTTCTATAAAAATGTGTTGTATGGATGACTTTAAGGAAATTGTCCAAGTTTTCAAAAAAAAAAAACTGGAAAAAAAATTCCATTTTCACAATTTTTAAATTTAAAGTCGGTTAAAAAAATTGCCATGTTTGATTTGGATGAAACTTTGCCTCAAGATAGGTAATTAATTTTACTACTATCCATCTATACATCGCGAGGTGGGCACTTTTAAGAAAAAATAAAATTTCGTACAAAAAGTTTTTCATTTCTGAACTGATTTTTTTTTTAACATACCATTTTCGCACAAAACTTAACCAGTAAGCTCAAAATCATCTCAGAATCCAATGAAGCTCAATTTGTGATTCAATTTTGTCCAATCAGCAACTAATCACATGGATTGATCGAGAATTCCATATGAAAAGGGCTTATATCATTTTAAAATAATATAATTGATTATATCGTCTACTACTGAGGCAAAATCTGATACTTCCATAGCAACTTAGCATTCTTTGCTTAAATTATCCATAAAGAATTAAGTATGAAAAAAATTGAAATTGAGATCTTTTTTCGCATCAACAACGATTTGGGAAGTCATTTTTTGCAACAACTCATGGAAAAGGTCCTTGTGATGCCATTAGTGGCACTCTCAAGCGAATGGCAAAGATTATAGAAACATCATAACAACTCCACGAGAATTATATAACTGGGCAGTTGAACAAACAGATAAAAATATCACAATACGTTTCTAGTACATATCCACTGAACAGTACATCGAAATGTCAGAAGAATTCGATGAACTATATAATAGCACATAGACAATATTTGGCACACAGAAATTGCACAGTTTTCTGCCTATAACTGGTGACAAAGTAGCGGCAAAAAGGTATTCTAATGTAGAAGATGAACCAAAAATATTTAACTTGATTGGAAAAAGGAAAATAGGTTTAAAACATTGGAAAATATATAAATAAATGATATATGAAAAATCTTGTCTTTTTTTTCTCACATATTATCACATTTTGCCTCAGTAGTAGACAACAGAATAAGAGAATGATTTTTTTTTTGACAAGGACTACATGTCCAGAAAGATTTATTGAACTCTTAGCGGGTGCTGCCAATTCCGAATACGATTTGGCGAGAAATGCATCATGAGCCCTTTTCATATGAAATTCTCGATTAATCAAAGTGAACTTAAGCGCTGATAAGACAAAATTGAATCGTTAATTGAGATTCCTTGGGTTCTGAGATGATTTTGAGCTCTCTGGTTTAGTTTTGTGTAAAAACGGCAAATTAAAAATAAAATGAAAAAAGTTTTTGATAGAATTTTTTTTCCCTAATGTGCCCATCTCGCGATGTATGGACGGTTGATGGTAAACATAATTACATATCTTGAGACATAGTTTCATCCAAATCAAAATTGGCATTTTTTTTTTTAAATCGGCTTCAAGTTTTAAAAATCGATTTTTTTAACGCAGGTCTCTAATGGATTTTTTCCAGTATTTTTTTTTTCAATGATTTGGACGATTTCCGTAAAGTCATTGATACAACAGGAGGAGTAGTTTTCATTTTTCCATGATATTTCTGTGAAAAAAATCGACAAAAAAAGTTTGGCCCTTCTCAAAGGTTAGTCTAGATAAATTTTGGAAAAACTAAGTATATGCAAAGTGGCTTATTTAGTCAAGGTTCACGCATCCAGAAAGTTTCATTGAAATCTAAGATGGTGCTGCCAACTCCGAATACGATTTGGCGCGAAATGCGTCAATACCATTCCAATACCAAATTATGAAAATGCAATTCCAAAACAATACCACACAGGTATTCTTTTGGTATCCAAATCAGGGCGTCAAAATATCAGCTTCAATCGACCAAATCGATGCGACGAAGAGACTGCTGGCTTTCTTTTTCTGTTAAAGTCGAACAGCTTCGCAGCATTCTACAACCTCAGTCGGCGTGCACAAACAAATGTTCAATCGCTTGTCTCTCTTTCTCCCGTCGCTTCATTGGTCTTCCTTTCAAGCTTCGGTGAAACGGATGAGCGAAAGAGCGCTTGACTTTGATAGTTTTCTCTTTCATGAAACACATCAACAAAGGTTTCATGACGTATGTGACGGAAAATGAAATTACACATTTAAAGCATTTCTCACGTGAAAACACTTGAAGATTACACGTCATATTTTTAATTTATCTTCCATTCATATATTTATCTAAAAAAAAATGATCGAAAACGGGACATAACGCATTTTAAACAAATTGAAAGAGCGGTGATAGAGTGTTCGTGAAAGAGGATTGAAAGCCATAATGAGGTTTCGTTTAACTAGAAAATCGACGTTAGTTACATTGAAAGCGATGAGCAAAGCAACGACGAGAAGTTCCAAAGCCAGCCTTTCCTTCTAAGCGTCCTGCTTTTTTATTTTCGTTTCTTGCTGATAGTCTAGCTAGGCGTTATAGAAATGAAGCGTCGAACACGTATGTATGAGAGAAACAAAACACGAGTTCATTTTAGAGCTTCGAAAATGTAGACAAATATCAATTTTTGTTATGTACAAAGTATTTTGCATGCATTGTTTTGGTATTATTCTTTGGTATTTTACCTCTTATGTCAAATTTTGGTATCAGATTAGAGTTAGGTATTAATTAGTTATTTTCTCCTGCTTGGGTGGCTGCGTTTACTACGCAAAACATAACTAGAACAACAAAAATCCAAAAAGGTGCTGATTCAAGCAAAAGGAAAAATCTATTAAAAATCTATTGTTTATAAATTTTTTCTAGTAAATTTTATAACAATCTGCGTTTTTTGTGCAAAAAATAATAAGAACATTAAAACTCCAAAGAACTGCTCATGTTAAAAAGGGTGGCTAAAAATACCAATTACATAACTAAAAGCTTATATTTAAAAGAATAATGAATCCATCTAAAATACAAAATATACGATATACAATTTAACAAAAAATCCCATCTTTATAATGTCAAAAGCCAGAATTGTGGAAAGTAAAAAAAAGCCCACGATCGCAACATTATACTAAACTTTGGATCTGGGATCTCAAAATTATAGGGAAGCAAGAGTTTTGAAACATTCAGGAATGGGAAAATGTCTTTAGTACCTAGAGAATTGAATAAATGTTCTTCTGTGTAGCCTTAAAATTTACCATTCTACTCGGGGTTTTTTTTAGTTAGCGGAGCTGCGCTCCTTTAACTTTAAAACAACACGGGCGTATCAGAAAATTTGAGGGTAACATATTTTTTGGAACATTTCATCGATATCTTTTTTTTTATTTGACTCTTTTATACAGTATCATCCGACAAAATCATGGTCAGATTATCGGGTCTTTACTAGTTAATCCGACTGTTCATACTAAAAATCAAAACAAATAGGCAGCATGCTTCCAGAATAAATCTGAAAACTAACAGCACATTGTATTCAAATTCGTATTTTTCAATCCAGCATTTTCCGGATTAACGGGGTTCAGATTTTCGAGTCGTCGGATTGTCGAGTAGGGGGATAGTGTAGTGAATTTCAGCTATGGATCGTAATTAGGGCCTCTCTTTTCAAGTATTCGATCAAACGGCATTCGTCCAAACAACCCATTTTCCAAACGGCATTCGGCCAAATGGCTACACACCATGTCACGTGCAGTAAACAAGTGCGTGATTTATTTCGATAGTCATTTGGATGCTATTTCAGTGCCATGATTGGATTATATATTTGGAATGTGGTCTGAAAATTCAGTGCAGTGAGTATATATAACCAAGTCAAAACACAGGAATACCACAGAAAACAGACGTTGAGGCTCGAAAAAATTTCTCTAAATACTAGATTCCTTTTTATTCCACTTAAAACCTATCTTTGACAACCTGATAGCGCTGGCGTTGCACAATTTACACTAGATACTAAGTGCTTGTAGCGCCAAGTGGCAATTTTCAACAGAAAATTTATCGATACTAGCGCCAAATTGGTCAAAAGTGGAAAATTTATAGAGGAAATCAGGAGATGCTAGCGCCATGTAACGGCGATGCTCCCACTTATCTTTACACAAGTTTCTAACCGAAGTTGGACGTTTGTTCTCTGTGGAATACGTTGTCGCAGTCCACTTCTACATGAGGATATTCCTTAAAAGATCCTCTTCCTTGTATCTACTGCTGGTACTGCTTGAGATTAGTAAGGTAGACAAGGAATTTAGAAGAACTAAATGCAACGCGTGGCACTGACGACATTTAACAATATTGTTCATATTCATATTCTTCTATCAGGCTATCAAAATATTTGCAGCGGATTGCTGATTTGTGGAGCAGTGTTAAGCTTAAATAAGTCTTGTTTAGTATTAAGTTCAGCTAACTTATTGAGATTGCAGTACGGAGAAACAATTCGCTTTATGTACTATTAATCAACTGTTCATGTTAATCAGCTTTATACACCTTAAATCAACCAATAATCAGCTACTACTCTTACTGTTCAGCTTGAATTGTCAGTTGGTTAAGTATTGGAGAGTAGCTTTGACGGAATCGGATATTTTACTGAAACATTTCAGCATACATGCAGTGGTGTCGCAGTATATACAAACGTTGATAGTAAATACAATTCGTAAAACACTCGTGATCTAATCACAGAAAAATATACAAAGCCATAAACCTATAGAACCTTGATAAAACTTGCAATGTTACTTGGGTCTGCGGCACATAAGCAAAGAATAGAATCAGAGGGACTAGCTCATGAAATTTCTCAAACATTTTGGAACTATTTAATTATCTTAATTGCATTTATTAAAGATACTTTCAGCCATAGAGCAATTGAATGTCATCGCATACAATCCCGGCATGAACGGGATTTTCGGAAAATGATTTATTTTATGTCCTAGGCAACCCTGGGAAGAACCCACTATGCCACCCTAAACGAAATACCTCATCCAACATTCATCTTATTCCCAAATTAATTGATACTCACCTTTTGCGTTCTTGCCCTCGCCTTGCTTGAAAAAGGTGACTGTCACTTTGAGATTATCTTCGAAGGCTAGTGTTTCTAGCGGATCGTCTAGCGGAGCCGGTGCCGTAAAGATGACATGATTTGGAATCACGTGGCCGTCGATCACTTTGCGATCAATCATGTCTGGTCGTGGTGGAGGCTATTGAGGAAGATAACAGATGTTTTGTTTTTGCTAGACTCGTACTAAATTGCTTTCGATAGGAAACATTACCTTGAAACCTTCTTCGACCGGGATGAGGAATGTATGACCACCGACTGCCCTGTAGATGTCTTCCTTTCTAGCCAACATAATTTTTTGTCGGAAGGAGCTGTAAAAAGCAACAAACAACACCAAATTGGAGACATCAAAATGGAAATCATTGATGGTGAAAAAATCGACAAATTACACAAGAAGCATCATTAGTTTTCTGTTAAGGATGGTCAAGACTGTCTTGTGGGTACTCACCGGATTCTATGTTGACTAATGTCCATGTTTTCGGCATGCTGGATGAATTGGTAGGCGTCCGGATTAAACACCTCGAACGAGGTTGATGGATTGACTGTCAAGGGTGTTAATACGTCATCAATTATGTGCAGCACCTGAAACAGAAGTGCCAAAGAAAACGTTGCCCACCGCCACGAAGGGGGAACGCAGGCAACGAAGCGTGTAAGTGATGATTTATTCATGAATTTCATTTGGGTTTAGTTCGTTTGGTTGCCAAAGGAGCTTGGAACTGTGCTTTTTATGGTTCTGTTTCCTACGTGGGGTCCTTGAGGTAGGTTGGGAAATGTAATGATCGAACTTTTACGATAGTACGTGCGCTGTTCCCATGGGATAAACTCAAGGGTTTCCGCAATTTGTGAATCTTATGGTGATATAAAGGAGAATATGATGGAATCTGAGTGTGTGGTTTCAACAGTTGAATATTTCAACAATTTGGTGGTGCTTCTGGGAGAGACTTTTTTGGACATCGAATATCATTGTGATTGTAATTGCCACACACTATACGAATGAAAATCGGTATATAGGTTAAAATAGCCTTGAGTTAACAACTGTGGAACTGCTCAAAAAATACCAAGTTGAGAGAGGATGCTTCAAATTGGGACGTAGGGGAGGGTGGGGATTCTTGATCCGGGGGAGACATGGTCTGCGTTGAACATTTTATGTTTTCTACACTAACTATTCATTATCCTAATAACAAAATATCACAAATATTTTTGAAATCGCTTTACATATTACATACCTATGTAAATGATGATTCTTTGTTTTAACGGACTAACAGATTTTTTGATGCACGTGGAAAATTGTGGTTTTTGGGCTTTTAATGTCAGAAATGCTCTCTGTTTTTAATACGTATAGTTTATGTCAACCCTTTGAACTGCAATTGGGGTGAAAACATTGATTATTTATTTCCATAGTCTTCAAAAGATAAAAATATTACCCAGTGGGGAGACTTGCTCCACTCGAGGTGGGAAGACTTAAACCATAACCATATCTCCAGGGAGTTTCAAAATAAGCTCAGGTTAGTTCATTATGGTCCTTGACACTCATCTTGACTAGTAATTGACTTTATTTTGCATTAATGAGCTATTTGATGACAGTTGATGGATTTCTCGCTGGTTACGTGTCAAGAAAGGTCAAATCTCACATTAGGTGGATGGATTCAGTATTTTTTTTTCACGTAAAAATACTCTTAAGATACAAACGATGTGAAAAAAATTCTAATTTATTTGAATATCGGACATTTAATAAAATAAGTGATCAAGTCGCCCTTTGTATCCCCAAGGTCCGCATTTTAAAATTTCCGAAAAATTGTTTAAACTTCACTAACATTACTTTCTTCTACTTTGGTCATTGATGTGTGTCTTAGTATACTCTTTGATGAGACTGCCACAAATTAATAAATTTGGACATGAGATATTGAAAACCACATGTACGAACGAAGCGTAGGAACATCATGAGGAGGAGACATGTTGACGATTGCTTTCACTTTGTCCGGGTCCGGACGAATGCCCTCTGTATCCAGAAGCTGGCCCAAGTAATTCACCTGGCGCATGAAGAATCGGCACTTTTCGTATTTTACCATAAATCCATATTCTTGAAGGCGCTGTAGAACACGGTACAGATTTTCTTTGTGTTCTTCGGCGTTGCGGCCACCGACAATGATGTCGTCGAGATATGGAGATGTACACGGGAGTCCACTTAGCATGGCATCCATGATCTGCCGGAAAGCACCGGGTGCACACTTGACACCGGGGGAAAGCCGATTGAAACGATAGAGCCCCTTGTGGGTGTTGATGATGGTGACGAGCTTCCTGCTTTCCTCATCGATCTCAACTTGTAGGTAAGCATCCGACAGATCTATGTGGCTAAACATCGTGCAATTCGCCATCCGATTAAATATGTCTTCCGGGAGTGGAAGCGGGTAGCTATTTCATTCGAGCGCATTGTTTAATCCGGTGGAGAAATCCGCACAAATTCGCACGGAGCGATCCGGCTTGCGGACAACTACGATGGGAGCTGCCCAATATGCATATGTCACTGGTGTGATGATACCCAAATCTTCAAGCCGCTTCAGCTCGTCTTCAACTACGGCGTCCATGTTGTACGAAACTGGCCGCTTGTATTTGAATACTGGCTGAGCGTCCGACTTGAGAGTGAGATGCTCTTGTGTTTTGGTGGACAGTCCCATATGATTGGTGAACACATCGGGGAAATTGGCCTTCAATTCGACTACCTGGTGATCTGGTTGTTGGCTACCGACCAGCTTGCAGAATGATGAAAATGGTACGTCCCAGAGCCCAAACTCATCCATTAGATCTGAACCTAGAACATTCAGGGAAAGGTCAGTACAACAAACGTAGTAATTACCTTCCTTATGAGTTCCGCAGATAGTGTACGCTGCTCGGAACATGGCCTCGATGTTTAGTCTGTCTGCGGAAGCCTGTTTGCACTTGACAGTCCGGTGGAGACGTTTGAGGTGCCCCGACATTGATCCAGTTCTGCCTGGATATAATGGTTATGTCCGAACCCGAGTCCAGCTGCATTTCAACCGGAACTCCATTGATCGCCGTTTCCACATAGCGCTGGCTGTGCATCACGTTCTTTACGGTTACAATCCTGGATGCGTGGTGGTTTTTGTTTTTCTGCTTGCCCTTGAACGATTTAGAACTCGGGTTGAATGTGAAACAGGAACAGTAGCCCTCCTTATGGCCGGTGCGACCACAGTCACGGCACTTGTAAGTCTTGAAACTGCATTGGTTAGAGAAGTGCATGCCGCCGCAAGACCAACACGGTGTCTTCGGTGTGTCAGATTTGTTACCGCCAAACTTTTTCTTGTGACAGTTGTCCTGAGGGGAACTTGCTCGAACAGCTTGCGAAGCAACAGTGACAGCAGCGGAGGCATAATGACTGCCGATTAGCGAAGTGTATTTCTTCAAATTAATCATGCTTTTGCACTCCTCTACTATCTTCTCCAGTGTGATGTCCTGTGTTTCGTTAATCTTAGACAGCAAGCGCATCCGGATGTCCTTAGATTATCTCAACCCGCACACGAAAATAAGGGACTTAAACTGGTCCTCTTTGAGCTCCTGCTGCTTGAAATCGACACAAGCTCTGTTTACCCTAAAGGAGTAGGTAATTAAATCTTTTTTTCCCCCTTCGCCGTCTGGAGGCACTGGTACTGACGATGGAAGGTGGAAACCAGGACTGCCGAAAATGGTTTTCAATTTGGCAATCGTTTGCTGCAAATTCCTTTGATAGTTTGGGAAGAATGAACGAAGTGTACACACTTAGATTTTTTACAGAAATCTGTAAAATTTTACCGATATCTCAACAGCTGAACGTTCGGTAATGTGTTCGGTGATTTTTTGGATTACCGAAAAATCTGTAATTGATTTTTTGCAATTACCGAACCGACTGGTATTTTTTTTACAAATTCTTCGGTAAAATTTTGGAAGAATAAATTTTTGTTTTACCGAACCTTTCTGTGTTTTTTTGCGGATAATCTGTAAAACCCATGATTTTAATTATTTAATTATTATTAAAGCTACTTTTTTCCAGGTGTTTTTTCGACATGACCATGTAAAATTCGATTTTGAATTTTTTTAATTCTTGCGCATATATTTTACTTTTCTTTTTAATTGAGTAGATTTCAATGAATACTAATCCATTCCAATCAAACTATTAAATGCTGAGCAAAAACTTGGTGCCCGTTGTGCTGAACTTTTCAACCCCCATTGCAGCCCCTGCGATAAACAATGGCTGTTTACATGGTGGTGCAAGCCAGCAACGTAGCCGGGAACTTGGGCATAGCAAAAAAGCAGATTATAGAAGACGAGAACAAAAGTTCATAGTAAAATAAGTGTTTTATATTACTTACGGAAAATACTGATGATCCTTGCGTCCTGTCCATGCAATTTGTCCAAGAGATTGTCCATTTTCGCGCTTTTTCCGATACTTTTACTTCCAGCGCGTCAAGCACTTATGAATTGTTTTGCTTTTCAGATTTGGCAAGATGGCTGCACAGGGTGCTTACAGAAGTTCGGTGAAATAATTACCGATTTATGGTAAATTGCCATGTGTTACAGATAATTCAGTAAAAAACATTACAGATCGTTCAGTATTTGTTTTTATTCACAGTATTTCGGTAAGTCTGAGACAAATTGATGAAAAATACCTAAGTTTTACCGAACAATCTGTGTTTTTGTTTACCGAATTCTGTAAAAAATTCTAAGTGTGTACCTTTCGTGTGCTTCGGGGTTGAGCTTTCGAAGCAGTAGCCGTACTTTCGCGCCGTTGTCCAACTTGGCAGTGTCCTTCTCAAAACGATCTGCATACCTGGAGAACCATGCATCGAATGAGCATCCAGATCGTAAGTGAACTCGGTAATATTGGTCGCTAGGGAATCTAGAACTAGCTCGATCTGGTTGGTGCTCTGGACATTTCCTTGGATGTTTGCCATCTGCTCCGCCATCCGGGTCATCAGTACTTGTTGGTTGCTTAGGAGCTGCAAGATTGTTTCCTGCGGCTCCTGGTACAGGTGGTAGTGGCTCAGGCATGGCGAACACGCGGATGGTATTCGACGCGGCGTTTTTCGACCGATTTTCGCGAGAAAACGTAAAACAACCGGCACGACTTTGTTTACAGCCTCGTCGCCACTTTGTTACGATGTAAGAGTGAACCGAGTGATGTAACTTAACAAACAAATAAACTTTATTTTAGGACAGAATACAAATTTAATAATTAATACTGTTCAGCCGGCGATTACTAATGATGTTTCATTCCCTGATGACAAGATGACTGCGATAGCATCCGGTCGAATGACAGCTGTCGGGTGACAGCCGTGAGTGTAGGGGACTAGGGCCGCACTCCAACACTAATGTTGGCCTATTGATCTATGATTGGGCCCATCGTTAAAAATCTGCTGTTTATCGATTTTATCTAGATGAACGGATTTTGGGATTGGGACGGTACTAGTGGATATTTTTGGTCGCTGTTGAAAATTTAGTCGATTGCTGAATTTATGTATGGGCCCAAAATAGGGGCATTTAGGGCGACATTACATCCATTTCCCCTATATATATTTGTTTTGCGTTCA